ACTCTCTAGTGTATATATTCCTGTCTCTCTCGCAGAATTTTGCTGAAACATGGTTGCAACTGTCAAGTTGGCCAGTCTCTTATTAGAGAGTCTCTAATCAGTAGTATCGATATCGATACTATGTGCGCCACCAGTGATCTCAGAATGCAGACGCGGCTCCGCAAATAAGTTTGAATTTTTATCGGTAGTGTCGAAAGGTATATCATTTACCGCGGATGGGTTTGCGATTAGTCTATAAGCAAAGGGTTTGTTCGTTTTAGCTACACTGGGGCTGCTCTGGGTCTGCTCTACACAGGATAATACAGGACAGATAAATAGTTTGTCCTGTATTATCTTGTTTAGAGCAGACCCAGAGCTGCCCCAGTGCAGCTAAAACGAACAAGTCTAAATGCATAAGGAAATGGAACAATCAATTTCCTTATGCATATGTTTATGCGATTATGCAAGTTTGGCTGGATAGGTTCTTATAGCGTTTTCGAATAAACGGGGTTTGAACGATCTAGGGTTGATCAATCACTATTTTACTATAAATGCAAGTCTTTCATTGGTGGAGAGGTTGCAATGACGTCATTAACCAACCCTGGGTCGTTCAAATCCTGTATAATCGAAAACGCTATTAGAGATAACACAGCTTCGCATCTACATTCTGGTATCACTGGGTGGCGCAAATAGTATCGATATATCGATACTACTGAGTTACACGAGCGCTACTCTTGGCCACTCTGATAGTCAAAAATCCGCCATGATAGTTTCTAACGGTTTCTATTGTGTTGGCTTGGAACGTATAGCGCGAACGCGTTCCGTAATTAATCGCGTATTTTACCCGTTAAAAGTGCACAATGAGTTCAAATTTTTATCGGGAGTGTCGACCAAAGTGACGGGCAATTACCGGAAAGTATCATTTATCGCAGATGTTTGCGATTAGTAGCGGCTCGGCTCTCGCTGTCATGGACTAAAATCTGTATACCCGGTGTGAATTCAGTGAGTGGAATTTTCGATAAAATTAATATGGTCGCTCGAGAGAACCGAAATAGAATTCGCACGTATTTTTCATTAGAAGTAGCATGTAATCTTACTGTACCATCAAGGTAATTATTACTCGTCTCGTCCGTTTGGAGTGGCGTGGTGTTTATGTTTACAGTGCCGAAGAGATCGTCGGACGCGTACAACACAAATATCGTGCGAAATAAAGTATATTTTATTTTGTGTTTATGTTTCGTGGTGTGGCAAATTCGCGACGTGTATTCGTGATTTTCGAAAATAAGATGCGTATTAATTTTTGTTCCGTGGTGTATATATCTAAAAGTGTGATGTGATTTTCGACATTCATCGATTCTTCGATGGAGCTGATTCGGTGCGATCATGACATAATCTGCAACGAATGGAGCAAAATGCAATACTCTTGTTGGTGAGTACAATTATTTGGTCATTATTTAAATATGTGTAGAATTGGGATAACCTATACAATTATCTGTACAGTCCAATTTTAGTATTTTTTTCTTTTGATTTTTCTCTTTTGTCTCACCTTATTTTCTATGCTGTTTCTCACTATCTCACGTTCCTTGATTATATTTAGAATGAGAACATAAGTGAAATACAAAAGATACCAATACATTATTAAACAAAAAATACGATTGATGGTACGATTGATGCTCTTGATTTATTATCGCAGGGATTCATGATTCTTTTGTCTCATATTGTATATACATTTTTAAATTTATTATACAATATCTTATATTTATTTTCTTGCTTTATAATCATGTGGTTAAGTAAATGTGACATAGTAGGAAGAAAAAAGATAGTGTAAGACAAAAAGAGAAAATTAATTTAAAAAATACGTAAGTTTGACTTGATTCACGTTTTGTATAAATCAAGACTACAATAGATTCTTCTGTTTAAAGAGAAATATTTTTAAAACTTTTACATCTTTTTTAACAAAGAATAATTTTTTACAAATTTTATTTATTCTTAATATTGTTAAATGAAAATCATGCTTTGATATAATTATGATGTGATACGAATGCTATAAAATTTATAAGCAAGATATATATTTTGGTGTCACTTGAAGATTCATTATTTAAAATTTATTACTATCTGTCACATTACGTTGCGGTAATAACGGCGCGTTAATTTATCCCCCTAAAAGCCGGCGATTGTCAAAATGTCACTTATAATAATGTAATGTAATGGCATAAAGTCCCATGCTTGACTTCAGCTTGAAATGGCAATCCGCTTACATAGCTTAATTATGAAACATGCGCGCCACCGTTGGCCTTCTTAGCGCTCGTTTCCGACGGCAGGACTTACTTTTACGACGGCCCTTAATACGTATTTGCCATTACGTCGCGCAGGATGGCAAGTATACACGTAAATTCTGTGATCTGGAACACTGAGCTGCATTCAGAATTGCTTTTAAGGCAGCGGTGAAGCTTTGGCTCCAGTTCATAAGAAACTTCTCTCTAGAACGTCTGATGTAAAATATATTTGCTAAGAAGAAAAGTCTTGAGTATTAAGAAGTTAGCAAGAGACTAGGTATATATACAAAATAAACCGTGAGTTGCTTTCACTTTTTAAATCATCTTTTTAATTCTATCAAAAATGTAAAAGGGGGTCATAGTGTAAGCCATTTAATAAAAAAAAAAATATTTGTATCTAAATATCTATTAAAATAAAGCCTCTTAAAATACTTGTATTTAATGTGCAGTAAATAGAACAAATGCTTTAAATATTCATGAAAAAAAGAAGAATTTATTTTTTTCTAAATACAAAAAAATAATTGCAAAAATCGGAAATTAGTAAATATTTAATCATTTCAATGTAGATACACATAGTTCAAATAATGTTCGTTGCAAATGAATGATAATTATATAGGTATGTTATAATATCTTTTGATTGAAATCTTTTTTTAAAGTGGAGTTATTCTTACAGTCAAATAATTAAATTTGGCGTGACATAGGTGCACTTTAACACGTTTAAAATGATTTAGTACTTTCGAAGTAACTCAGGACTCACGAAGGTCTTAAAGAGACTTTGAACGTTAAAGTCCCTTAGTAGTCAATGCTGTTTGTTGGCGAGTACGCAGTTCTGAGCATATCTGTAATTTATTAACATCAAGTCGCGCGACTTCGGAGTCCGCCAAACCGAGTGGTCGAAGTAGAGCTCCTTTCGGAGAAATGGCAATAGGGACAGGTGGAGGAACAGCGCGAGAGAGTAACATAGGTTACGTCGTCTGTAACATTCGTCTTGCCATGACAAGGCAGCAAATTGCTTTTGAGAGCGTTAAATTAATGCTCACGACATATCTTGCATGTAGTCACGAATCTTCGCGTAAGAAGATATGCTATCCGGAGTACATATCGATCTTGAATACGTTCGTGAATACATTGCTCGATGGTAGTACGCAGATACTACCGAGCAATCGTAAATTAAAGTAGTTTCCTCGATATCTGCATTGTTTGGGTAAAGTAAAACTTTATAGATCGATACCCTTTTATTTCAATAAAAATAGTAAGTGCTCCTATTTTATGTATTTGATACATTGCTTCAGTTTAATTAGTATCCTTGAGATTATCCTTGAGAAAGGAGGAAAATTTTTCATTTTTGCATATACTGATAATTAACTGATAAACACTTTAAATGTGTCATTTTCCGAATATCTAATTTATATTTTAGTTAGATATTTTTTTGGTCATTTTTTTCTCATATTAACTTATTTAAATTTAATGAAATTTTGATCATATAACCGATGAAAGAAATATGCTCTTTTAAAAATTAATTAATGAACTTCTATATCATTATTCATTTTGTATATTAACGATAAGTTTTTCTTTCTTCATTATTCTGAACTTTTAAACGCCTTTAAAATTTGTGACATACAATACACGCGCGTAATTATGCTTTAAATTAGTATTTAATTAATAGACGAAAGATAGCGTCAGTTGGAGTCAGCACGTCACGTTATACAAGACGGTACACAATTAACTCATCACATTATCGTACTTTTTTATCTTAATTTTTAAAAACACTCACAAACTCACATTGAGTGTTTTAAACATTCTACACGGCCATTTTCATCTATTCTCGTGAAAGTTTTCCTAGTTTCGCAATAAGATTTTCATAATATACAACATCTTCCTTGTATAACATCTCGTACGAAACGATGACTTATATATCCTTCCGAATCGATAAAGGATAAAGCATCAGTTTGCATCGTTTTTGCGACGAGCGTCTGGTGCGGCGCAATGTTTTCATATCGATGTATTAAGCATATATTCGAGCACAAGAAAACAAATAATCTCGTTGCAATTTGACGTTGATTAGACATTTAAAAACTAAAAGTGTTTTACGTTGTTTCGCAATAAAGTGAATAAAATAGCTGATCATAAAAAAGGAGATTCATGTTAATCTCATTTTAAAGTCATGTACTCTGGAATAAGAAATTCTCTCCAACATGAATAAACGAACAAACATTCGCATGTTGTTGATACATTTTAAATGCTCTTTTTTTTTACCCCGGGTCGGTAGTTTTTTCTCTCCACGATTAACTCAGACTAATATGTTACCGGCATCAATATGTAAAATGCGACATTGTTGCGTGTAGTAAAATTTCCCGACGGACTCGTGACTCATCCACGCTAGATAACTGCATCTTCTCGTCTCGGAGAAACTTTATTTTTAAAGTCGCGAACTTCTGTGCCCCACTCTAACCATCTCCACCACTATATCATATAGTTTGCTTCCGTTAAACATTAAGGAAGATTGCATCTACAATAGTTTAGGGAGTTTCCACGTCGTGATGAGTAGCGCGAATTTATGGCGTCGCGGTTGTCTCATTAAGAGCGCTACTTTTTATTTATGATGTAATATCCGATAATTACTTTCATACGAACGTAACACACTGTCCTCTTCGGTATAATTTTGTAATTTGCAAAATATTCAATATTGAAAGATAATGAGACAGTTTCTTGATTTATAGATTGTGCTTATTTAATGATAATTAAAATACAAATAAAGATGATGTTATACGAATAAGAATGAAAGATGTAAAATGTATTAATATCTTTCTATAAAATAATAATGGCAATATCTTACTTAGGATATTTGAATCTTGATACAGCAGACAGATGTTTTGCGGATTTAGTGCTGAATAATTGAATAATCCAAGAACGGATTTATTTCTGGGTAAATCTGTTTTTAGATACTACATACTTTACTACATAAAAATGTAACACAATATATTGAAGAAATCTTAGAAGAATAATAAAACAATCTTATATTGGGAATTTTACTTCGTGTTTATCTTCATCGTTTAACTGCATGACATAGCATGCACAAAAGTTTTCAAGTTTTATTGAACCTTAGATTTCTGATCAAGATATGCATTTTATCGACTCAGACTCAAGCAGTATCTTTAAATCGGGATTTTGTGAGAATAAAAACATGCAATGATTCTTAATGCTAATGTATTATAGGAAATAGTTATTTTTAATTATTTTTGGATAATTATTAAATTAATTAGGGTCAATTAAATAACTATTACATATATGAATTATATTGTTTTTTATGCCATTTATTCAACGATTTCAATTACCTTTCTCTTGAGTTTATATTAAAACAAATTAAGATTTAATTAAATAAATAAATAAAATTAAAATAAAAGTGACCGAACTTTAGTTTATGTAAAATTTATTTTAAAAATACTTTCAAGGAATATTTGAAGATAAATCAAAAAGTTTACGTAAAAAATTGTTACAAAAAATAATTAATTATTGTAAAGAATCAAACAATAATCTATTTTGTAAATATAATCACTGTGTATTTTGATTACAATTTTGCAGTAACTGGCAGTTTTTTATTTTTCCAAAAAAGTTCTTTTAGTTCAGTTATGTACTGTAGCTTTAAGCTTGTTAGCATTAAGAAAACATCTCACCACAACTTTTACATAATGCAAATCTGGCATCATCAGATTACTAAGCATTCGAACTATTAGAAAAAGATCTAATAAGATCTGTAGTAGAACATGTAGTAAAACGCTTTTTTTTTTTAAAGATAAGCTTAATTCTGTTGTGCGTCATTTCGGATCAAAGATATTTTTCAACACTCCAGCTGTTAAATTACTATGAGATGTGTCTCAAAATAGATTGTGATTATGTCAAGAAATGAGTTTAAATTGTTTAAATTTTTATAAAAAAGACTTATTTTTTTAATAGCGAGTTATTGCAGTTTTTTTTATTCACCTTCGTAGTTAAGAGCAATAGAACCAACTACAAAAACGTATGAGATTGATGATATCTAAATACCACAGATCCGTCGCATCCGGTTTCTTCACCGATTTCTTCGCCGGTTTCTTCGCCGTTCTAAAAATTTCTTCTTACCGGCGTGAGATGCAGAAGCACTTAACGCTGGATC